CACCAATATCCTATACGCATTCATCTCCCCCATTCATGCTACATGCCCAGCCCACTTCATCCTCTTTGACTTGATCATTCTAATTATACTTGGAGAAGGGTACAAGTTATGAAGTGCCTCGTTATGCAGTTTTCTCCACCCTTTCAAGCCTAAAATTGAAAATATGATGGGGCAGTATGGAATGGATTTATGTGGATCAGGATAGGGACCAGTATCAGGCTCTTGTGAACATGGCAATGATCCTTCGGGATCCATGAAATATTGCGAAAGTCTTATGCAGATGAGCGACCAGCCATTTCTTAATGGCCGGTTCCATGGAGACAACTTCAGTCCCTACTGCACAGAAAACATGATGTGTCTCAAAGAGTACCAGTATCCTCCAGCATGTGATATCATGTAGTAAGGTAGAAGTCAATGGTCATTTCAGATGAATGTACTGGCTCCATCTTCATGGTAAAAGATTAGCTTAGCATATCTCAAACATGAAGATCAAGGTGGTGCATTCCACTGAAACCTTGATGAACTTCGTGTACCTCTGCTGCTCTATATGCTGTCTCATGCCAGATGATAGGCGTTCTTCACAGGCACAGCTGTGAGAACCTCGAATATAAGTAAGTGTCTCCATTAAAAAGGAAAAAATTTATTGTTACTGTTTATGGAAATAACCAGCATTTATTCTGAGAATCATAAAGGTAAAAGGTAAAGTTGTCCCTGTGCTGAACTAATTCAAAACTATGCCATGAAGACGCATGGGGGAGTGGATGTATAGATTCACGTTTTCATGACATCAACAATAGTTGGAGGTGAGTGGTCAGCTTCACGCCCCGGCCGCTTTACCCCCAGGGAAAGACCCCCAGTACCCTTTGAATAGGAGACTGGGTGGGTACCAGAGCTGGTCTGGACAACGTAGAGAAAAGAAAATTCTTGACCTTACCGAGACCAATCTCTGACCCCTTGGCCGTTCAGCCCATAGCCAGTCGCTATACTGGCTCCATTCTGACAATCACGTGAAACATAAACACACTCGATGGGCAGAACTGACACTTTCCTACACATTAAAGCAGGTGATACAGTAAATCCCTATGATTTGTGATACCCTACTTCCTTTACAATCTTTTCCAGTTCACCAGCCATAAACATACTCATTCTTTATTCATTTTTGGGAGGTCCAAGGTTCAAACCTCAGCCCAGATACTAATCATCCTAAGGAGCTTTATGGAGTTCGTCAGTCCCTTGGGGCAAATGCCTGGATAATGCCTCAAATTAGGTCATAATTCCTTCTACATCCCTTCCAAATCATTATTCATGACTCATGTTGCTAGTTATAGTCTATGTTCATAGTCTAAGCTGCTGAAAGCACAATTAAATAAAATGTAAATAAGTAGTACAGTTTACTGATACATTCAGAGTGGAACTAATTAAAAATCTGTTTTGGTCTGCAATGTATACTTTTCAGACTTAAGAAAGAGCAGTCAGGGCCTGGATTTTGTTCAAAAGCACAAGATATCCCATCACTTCTCTGCACTGAACAGACTCCAAGACACTATGCTGTTCTTTAATTACATAAACTTAAAACCTCTTTAAAGTACATACTTTTTTTATCACTGCATATACAGGGTGATTCACGAAGTTTTACCCCCACTTAGGGAGGGCATTCCTGAGGTAATTTGGAACAAAAAATGTTAATATACTAATGGTATCCAACTCATAATTAAATAGATACAGTAATTTGAAAACTGGCGAAAGATCTTTTTTTCTTCGAATTTCAGTCAAAACAAATTAGAAATACAATACAAACACTTTTTAAATCGTTAATGTTTTAGGAAAGAAGCATTCTAAAACCAAATTTTTCTTTTCAATTTCTTAATTTTGCATTGTGCAACATTTTTCATCGATTTTGTGTTACAAAATTACATTATTTTCAGCATCCCATTCTGTAAACATACCAATGGTTGCATATCACACCCTTCTGTCAATCTGTTTCCTTTAAACTGTAGTGCTTTAGAAGACGACTGGATTTACATAAGATTTTCAAAAATGTCTCCCTGCACGTCAACACAATGTGTCGCACGCATATGAACCACTCTGCCTATCTACCTACGCGCAACATTCAAACCGGTCTACCTTATCTGCTGACATAGCTAACTGGAACGTATGGTCGCCCACGCTGAAGCATAGCGCTGCATTCACAATGATGCGTTTCAAAAATCTATTGTTACTCCGTTAACTATTGAAACTCGACAAAAAGTTTATAAGGAAATTTTGCAGGAAATAACCCCAGGAATATATACCATAAGCCAGGGTAAAACTTCGTGAATCACCCTGTATATGCATCTATACAGTGTGACACAAACCTGAAAATAAATAAAATAAAGTTAATAGTTACAGATGTTTCAAAAACTAAAGAGCTGTCAAAGAGATCAAGAGAATACAGAATAATTCTAATGTTATGAAATTATAAAATGAATATTATGGAACAGAGAGATCCAAAAACAATGCAAAAAAAAAAAAAAAAGCAATCTACAGATCAAATTTTGAACAGATACTAACATGCAGTGCCAAAGCATGGACCCTTACAGACACAAATAAAAGAAAATCCAAGTGATAGATATGAAGTATTTTAGTAGTACTGAGAGGAAAAATATCATCAGATAATAAATTAAATTCCTACAAAATTTTGAATTAAAAATTTGTAAAGAAAAATTATTACACAAAATAAGAATAGTGATAAGGACATCAGAATTAAAATTTAAAGGAAAGAGCTGTATGGTAAGTTCTAGAAAAATACAGTCCATCCAGCCACTGGAAGACATCAAGAGGTGAGGGAAGAGCAGGCAATAAATCATAAAGGAATGACTGTGGGATGAAATAAGAGGTTGCATCCTTTTTGTCCATCAACCCATATAAAATCAAAACTGTCAGAAGAAGATTCAAAGTGTAAACACTGTAAAGGAACACTTTTACGCAATGGCTTCACGAAGATGGGCAGACATTACTGCAACCCCAACAAGCAGGTTAACAAGTATTACATCAGTAACAGCTATATTTATATGAAAGGGTCTGTTCATTGCAGCCTCCTGTTGATGTTCCACTTTGATTCAAGTCACTGGTTTAGATTTGGTTTGAACTTCTTCAATTTACCATTTAGAATTACTATTATTTCTAATGAAATGCATGCGCATCACATCACACAAGCATTCAGCAATACCCTAAGTGGTCCATTTGAGAAAAGAAACATTAGCAACACACAATACATAAGCTGTATAATATTTGAGGTTTTCACAGCGGTGACTGTGAAGAATTCTGTCTTCTGGGACGTGGCACCGCGTAGATACTGTGTAAACTGACATTTCGGAGGAATGTATCACCTCCATCTTTAGCCACCTGCTCACATTGGTTCCTTGTTCCTGGATTTTTTGTTATACCCTGAAGATGGAGGTGATACGTTCCTTCGAAACGTCGGTTTACACAGTAACTATACAGCGCCACATACAAGAAGATGGCATTCTTCAATTCATAAGCTGACACAGATTTGTTTGTTAGTTACAAAACTTATACTTCAGATTAACTACTCATATGTTAATTAGTGTTGAAGCAGCTGACACACAAGATACTGAGTTACACAATGGAAATTATTCCCTTGGTCACTGCCAAGCCTTTCACTTCTACACAAATTAAAAAGTTCAAGGACTGTATTACAAATTGCTTTGGGGCAGGAGGAGGTTTTAGATTTCCAAACCTCTTCTGAAAACCTCAAACAAAATATTTTAATACTTCCATAAAGAAACTGCAAGTTCAGTACTTTACACTCCAGAGACTCCTGGTGACTGACAGAACATGTACACCTCCAACTGCAAGCCCAAAACATTTCCAAAGCACAAAACCATGCACTCAGGGAATTAAAATAGAAACTGTTCACATTACCAAAAAAATCATTCAGTCTTCTTCAACAAAATAAAACAAACAGTAATTGTTAGTATTTCAAACTAACAAACAGTAATTGTATTTTAGACCATGTGGTACTGAAATATATATCTTATGCAGACAAGTGGGTCAGAATGATGTGATGGTCCCACGCGATTTAGCAGTATCCTGCCTGTAACTTCGCAGGAACAGCGACAAGTCTAAGGATCCTAGGAGATAATAAGCAACATCCATTGGCATGTTACACTCATATCTACTGTTTGGCATAGATGTCCACCAGAACAAGGAACACTCTATTTCTCCATCTAACTGTCAAAGTGGTTACGGCATTTATCGCAGGAACACATGGCCTGTTCAATTCTAGCAGAGATGAAACAGAGACTCAGTGCTTGCAATTGCTGGCACACATTGGCTTTAACCTATCTTAAAGTGTTTTACTTCACCGTTGCCTTGGGGTATAGAAGCTGAAGGAGGAGTGTGCCCTGTTTTTCCCAAAATGTCACTGACGCCTTCCCTGCAGACTTCTGTCGACTGCTTCTTCAAACACCATTCTGCTCAGACCTTACACCTTTGTGGATCACTAAGGAAAGCATTTCTGACATTATGTTCAGATGATAGCCAAGGTGCACTGCTGTGTGTAAACACGGAGTTCTTACTGCATTTCTGCGGGAAATAAACATGTGGTGTGTCACCGGGACAAGTGTCTCAATTTGTCTGGCAATTACACAGGGAAACAGAGGGTCTGTCCTTATTCTATCTACATCTAAGTAATAAACACAAGCATAATTCCTTCAGATGATACTTAACCCAACAGCAGATGTACAAATATAATTTCATACACTCCATGTTTTGAATGCATCGAGAACTTTATCTCTGATTATGAATGAACTGTCCTTCAAGCAGTCAATACTGGAATTTGATACCATACAGCTAAAGTTTTATTTGAAGTGCCTAAACGTAATACTGTGACTTCTGAAGGGTGAAGCAGGAATGGGTGAAGCAGTCTGGCCAGGCAGGCAGCCAAGCAATCAGGCAGGATAATGAGGGATGGGGAATAAGCAGGAACATGGACCTACCTGTAAACTCGTCTTCCCACTCTAAACCAGGATTTAGATTGTACTCGTCTTCAAACACAATGAAAAAAAAAAGAAAGAAAAATCAATATTTAGATTATCAATATGTATGTTACATTTCAGCAAATATGAATGACTGCAATATTTTTGTCACAACATTTAGTAAACTGTAATGGGCGATAACACAATCAAAATTTACTACAGCTATCAGGCTGAAATGCATTCAGTGTTATCAATCACTGCAAGCAACGACTGTCATCATCTCATATTATTCCAAATGGGAAAATGTTTTTTAAATGCAACATTATTAACTAACTATAACAAAAGCATTAATAACAATGTTAAATATAAAACAGGTTGTCAAGGTGAGTATTATCAAATGCATACATCATCAGTCATTCAGTGCTGCTAAACATGGTAACACACATTTTCTGCAGACAATATTTCCTTAACATCCAACAGAACAACCCAGAGTCCCATATCAACATACCAGCCAGTGTACTCTTAAATTTATCTCACCAATCAGAGATCTCTGCGAGAGAAATGAATGCCAAATCATAGCCCAAGAGGTGCTTCCCCATAATACCGGAATTTAAACATATTCACGAAGCAATGTATCGCATGAATGTAGATTTGTGTTCTCAGCATGAAAAATCCATCTGTATTTTTAATATGATTACAATTTCTAACAACATAATGTTAAAGAATGCGCATACAGCCAATATGTAAAAAAATGCAAAAATGTAAATCAACTTATCCTTACTACACTGTGTTTATACATTTATATTATTAACGTGAAATTATGCAACAAACATATTGCTGCAAATGACAGCATCGATAAATGGAAAAAATGAAACACTGCTGAAAAATATTTAAATATTCGTACACATGGACCAAGATGCCTTTAAGAAAGCATCAAACAGTATTCTTGATTCCAACACAGTACCTACTGTACATTATGATTGCCCGACGACGCAAGGTCATCTTTGCAAAGCCAATACATGACTACAATGTACAAACCTATGAAAGTTGAATTCTAAAAGGTCACAATGATGGTATATTAGACTTGGGATTACTGAGTTTTTTGGGCTGTATCTGTTCTATAGCATTAAATAGAAAACACAAAATTTCAGAAACTGAACAAGGTCCAGTGATTGACATCAGACCTGTATGAGGAGGTGCCTCCTAACCAGTTCATCTGAGGGCACGGACCAAGCTTCTGAAACATCGTGTTCTATTGGCAAACTAAACAGCAGACAAGTCCAGAAACACAGCAGTCCAAAACTACATGTGCTCACACATTTAAGAAACATATGCAAACTGAAAGCAGCTGTATTCTAGTCTGATAGTGTGACTTCAAGTTACGGACACACACACACACACCTCTGCTATAAATGGCTGGTAAAATTTTGTCCCATTTTCTGATATAGCAAATGAGTGTTTGAACACTAGTACCAGTAATAAGGAGATTAAAGTCTTGAAATGCACTGTACTAATTTTATCTATGAACTCTCCTCCACTACAGACTAAGGTAACATTCTGGATTCCAAATTCCATAAGCCAATATACTCCATGAAAGAGAAAGAGAAGAGATTCGGACTGCAGTCAATCCATTAAACTGCTCTATTCACAAACCATAATTATGGCAAAAACCTACATTACTGCTAGCAGTTTATGGGGAGAATTTTCGTAATGTTCATAATGTGTGTAAGGACATCTCTAATCCAGCACCTGAGTGGCAACAGAATAGAGAAGTTAACACATTAAATCTCACAATACAAATGGAACAACACAAAGCTGGATGTGTGAACAGATGCAAGTTGGATCTCATAACAGAAATTATGAATAGGAATAAATTCTGATCATAGTAGAAAATTGATTCTAAATGGAGTAGAACACTCAGGATTACTGCATTTTTGGACTTTGTCTATTGTCCAGTATTTTAAAAATTGAAGATGTTTTGGAAAATGGATCTGTTTCAGTCCTCGGGTGAGATCCATACTCTGTTAGGTCCCTTAGCACGAGCTAACCTCAAGAGTTTCTGAAATGTTGTGTTCTCTAGTTTCTAGAATACCGGACTATGGACAAAGTCCAAAACCCAGTAATTCTGAATGGTATAAAATGTTATGTTTCAAAAGACTCAGTTTAAGCATGAATTTGTAGTGCCTGACACAGTAAAATTTTTTGTGGATTTTAGACCCTTTTAGAAACACTTCACTAACTCAATTCTAAAGCTTCTGATGATGTTACTACACCATTTAGAAGTATTATTTCGGAGTTTAATGAAACCACCAAATTTTGGAAATCAGTTATAGATCCATCTTTAGGTGAACAGGTTATTAAAGAAAACCTTGGTTCTATATATTCTTCACTTCTGAAGATTCTTAGCTCAGATGGTATAGAGACTTGACTACAGGCTAGACAACCAAGGAATTTGGGTTAGATTCCCAGCAGGGGCAGAAGACTTTTCTCCTCTCCACTGCATTCGGACCACCGCTGAAGCGCACCCAGCATGCCACCCAATGCTTACTAGGGCTCCTTAACCATGGTTAAAAAGGCCACGACATACCACTGACCACTCACTTCCATCCACTACCAAAATTACTACACTTCCACTCTTCCAATGTATCTTCAAAGCACAATGCTTAATTACACCTAGTAACAACTTTTTGTGCCTTCTGAAAATTGATGGAGTCCATGGTTTCACCTACCTCTACTGAGGGGCTAAACAGAAGTTTCACTTTGTATCCTGTTCACCTGAAGACAGAATAAGAACCAGTTTCTTAAACAGCGTTGGTTTTCATACACTCAGATGATGGACAAAGTGTGATATAGTTTCAAACACTTCATCAATCGCAATTCTTTTTATATGCCAAGATGAGAAACAACCAGCAATATTACTATTTTGAAAAATTACTATGGGTAGTATAAAATGACCGAATATTTTGAATTTCAATTTCTCATCAGTTCAGATGGACGAGCGCGAGGCTGCAATCCTACCAATATGCTACATTTCTCCTTAAACATATGTGAGAATTGTGACAGTTCATGACTGGTATGTGAGTACAAACATGTGCCAATAACATGTACCAACTGTCTACTGACATTCATGTTTATAAATAGCTCATAACTTTCCTCATCATTAATCCAGGGATTACCAACACTATACGCAATGATTAGCTTTTACCAATGGCATGCCTCATTACATGAAGAAGAGAGAACAGCATCTGCAACCAGCATGCAGCAACAATGGTTACCACCTAACCACCGTTACCACTATCAATAAACATGCTTCTCCCCCCCACCCCAGTCACACTGCCAAAGTACCATATTTCCAAGTATACAAGACACACAACAGTTTGGGAAGAAGATGTCAAGGAATATACTCTTCTGCTTTTTTTTCTTTTTTGTTTAGGAAGCAACGTTTATTACGTATTAATTAAATGTAACAAAATTATTTGTATATTTATTTACATTTCCCCCCCCCCTTTGGCACTACAGCCCCAGTGGGCCTAGGCCTACCTCCATGAACTCCGTTCACTTCGGTTTTTCTAGATCTCACACATACGGTAGGACTCCTTGGGCGAGTGATCAGCTCGTTGCAAGGCCTCTACCTGTAGACAAACACAGAAAAACGCACACAAACATCCATGCCCTGGGTGGGATTCGAACCCATGACCCAGGCTTCCAAGCGAGCGAAGACAGTGCATGCCTTAGGCCGCTTGGCTACTGTGACCGGCTTTATTTACAAATAGAGTAAACAATTCTGCCTGACATGATGAAAACAAAATGAAATTTAGGTAACCACTAACAGTATCTCATTTTAATTGTTACTTCTCATGTATAAGATACACTGTGATTTTCTGGGCCACTTTTAAGGAAGAGATGTTATCTTATGCAGCAGGAAATATGGTAATGCAATATAAAATTCAAGGTTAGTAGGACCTTCCTGGCTGGATGGATAGACACATGATGAGTATGTCTTAACGATTTCACTAACTCGACACTCAATAACCTCACATTCGCTTAAAATCAGCAAGCATCTACCTGAGGGTACATTCTCAAGGTATTTCCTACACAACTACAACTTTACGTACTCTTACACATTGAATTTTATCTTTACAAACAACACAAAGTGATGGAATATCACCTAACAACGTTTTAATTAGATTGTGGTTTTCCAGTGGTCATGTCGGTGGACACTGACACTTTGGAGGAACATGCTGCTTCCATCTTCAGGGTTGAAGTGTGTCAGGCTAAGAATCACCTCAGTTATACAGGCAGATTTCAAGATCACTTATACCAACAAGAGGGAGTAAGGCCAAAAAGAACAGTAGGGTAGAACACGGCTCATTTCCCCGATACCCCACTAAAGGTAAAAGCATAGTTATCCCTACACTACACCATGAAGGCATATGGGGAAATAGATGTATAGATCCGTGTTTTCTTAACCTCCTCACTAGCTGCAGCTAAGTGGTCAGCTTCACGCTCCGTCCGCTTTACCCCCGGTACCCACTGGATAGGAGGCTGGGTGGGCCCCAGAGGCGATCTGGATGTTGCAGAGAAGAGAAAACTCTTGGCCCTACCAGGACTCAAACTCTGACCCCTTAATCATCTAACCCATAGCAAGTGGCTCTACCGACTGCGCTATCCCACCTCAACTTAAGTACCTCAGTGAGGGGCGGGGGAAGACAGTGATTCCTGCCAAAATATTGATATTTTCGGGGCCACCACATTTCATTTTCACTCCTGTGATGATAACAATATTGTGACTCTCTGCCTTCCTATAACCAAAAAATAAATAATGGGGCTGGGACCTTGCAAAGGGCCACTGCTTTCCTTCCTACCATTCCCACTGACCCAGAACAGGCCCGTTTCTTCATTCTCTGCAGTGGGTCTAAGTGACCACCTTCCTTGGAACCTGCCTTGATAACTGAATCATCACTCCACATGCATCAACCCTGAACCTGAAAAAGGAAGCAGTGTGTCTATTGAAAGCCTTGATATCCACCAGCTAGACTACATAAGACCATAATCTGAATGGTCATGGCTGTGGAAACCTAGAAAACATCACGTAATGTTTCGATTACACAATGTAAGGAAAGTAAGTTGGAAAGGACAGCACTGAGGGACAGGTCAAACGTAGTCACAGATAGTGACAGTATACCAAACTGTGGCCTGGAGTCCAAACTACATTTCCACTTTTAAAATATAATGTTATCAGTGTAAGAGGGCCATAGGGATGTGAGACATCGAGGTTCTAACATTTTCTACATAATCAGCTCACAGATGAGGTTGTCGGCCTTACATGTCGACCTCCCTTTATGCCAGGAATATTCCTGGTACCCATTTCAGTTAGAGGGTGAGTCGATACCTGGTTTAAATCTGTAACATCAAGGCTGCTGGGACTGCTTCTTGGGGGGAAGGGGCACAAAAATTTTCTGACACATTTATGTTTAAGCCACTTGACATTATTTTTTACTGACACCACTACAGCATTCAGAATAGAACAAGATTTCTTTTAAATACTTTCAAGCGTCCTGTATTAATCTCTTATGAAATTCCTTATTTTTCAATTTTGATTTGGTTTTTAATCCAGGGGAAAATGGGAGTTGACTGGCTGATAGAGCCTTTCAGTCATCTGTAGCTGGGACAAGACAAGTATACCATATCAAATGACAGGCGATTAGAAGCCTTTAATTAGAATGAGTGTCATAAGGAGGACCATACAGGTACAGATCATTTAAAAGCGGTAATTTCTTTTATCAATTTGGTATAATAAACACTGAAGGCTGCTGTAACAGTAACAGTTCCATTTCCATCAGTGATACGCCACAACCATCTCACACCATCTTAGGGAATGACGGACACATTTATGGTGGCACAAAAAAAAAGGCTTTTTTTAACAGGGTAAAAATGAGTGGGTTTTTGGATTTGAATGAAACTAAGATCAGTTGTGTGGAAATTACCTTACGTACAAAAAGATTTAATCAGTTTGGCTGATCTGTTATACAGAAGTGAATGTTAAATACGGTTTTTTCTTACATATTTTCCACTTTTCTTAACGTGTCAGATGACGCTACAGTTAAACCTGTCAAATCCATGGAATGACCACAGAATTCTGCATATTTAAATCCATTAAAACACCACGTTTGGACTGAACAGTTAGTGTAGACAAGAACCGTTCTGGTGCATGGAATTACAGAAACAACAAACTGGTAACATCTTGCCTCTTGTATCATATCAGCCATTAATGGGTAAGAAAGAGGAATCCAGGCCTTAATCCAAGAAAACAAGGAGTCTATTCACTAGCAATTTCAGCAAAAGAAACAACAAATAAATAAATCAGTATACATACATACATAGGTATGAAGAAAGCAGTCTTCTGGGATGTGGCACCGTGTAGATGTGGTTTTAACCGATGTTTCAGAGGAACATCGGTTAACACCACATCTACACAGTGCCACATCCCAGAAGACTGCTTTCTTCTTAGTCACTGCCATGAAAACCTCAAATCTTACATGGGTATGTTCATCAAGGCAGTTTGATCAAATTTGTAGAGCCCTTCATTTTTACCAGTTTTAAAAAGTGTCATTTTTGGCCACCTGTTAGACATGTAACATAAAGAGCATGTGGACGCGTGTGCACTCACACAAACACATACATGCATGAAAGCACTATAGATATATGCTGAATTATTTATCTTGCATCAAGAATATTCCATTCAAAACCATTATCTCATGAGAATCCTGTTGTTCCCAGACACTGAGATAACCAGCAGAAAAACAAAACTTTAAAAGAATTACTTCAGTGTAACAATTATGATATTCCTAGGTTTTTGGTATATCCAATGTAAATATCCACGTCATTCTTCCCTTGCATTATTAAGTGACAGTCTCTATGTCAGACACGTGTCAACTATTTGTTTTTCATAAAAGAAAACCACAAACCAGGCCCAAAATTGGATTAGTTTCTTTTGCTTACATTCCTTGAAAAATTCAACTTGTTATTTAAAATTCTGGTGGCTTTCAAATACACATACCAGAAAATAAAACTGAGTTCTCATTTCTTGTTATTATATCAAGTAATGATACCATTCCTTCAAAATGATGGAACAGCTTATTTGAAACATATTCATAACCTTTCAACACAATACTATAAAAACTCTAATTATGGTCCTTATTATTAGAGTACATGTCACTGTATGCCTCAATGCAACAGGATTCTAAAATATAATCTAATTATGGTAACTCAGTAAAACAGCCTGCTGCCATAGTTCTGTAACACAATCATCTTCAATGTTAAACATGTCGGTTAAGATAATGACATAGTACAGGAACACTGTGATGTCATATCAGACTACAAGTTCCCTCTTCTCCCACCAAAACAAAATGCAACAAATCTGCTTTCATAAACTGCATAACTAAAACCCTACTTAGAAGCTGATGTGTATGATTCTGCAAATGGATGCTTGTAGGATGGAAGACATTTGCTCTCGATTCCAACAACAGTCCTGAATCCTTAAATCTAACAGGGTCAAGGATAGGAACGAGGTTCAACAGAATACACAACTGTCAGGTATCAACTGAAACAAAGAAAGTAAAACAAAACACTGAGCTCAGTATATGAACTTGATTGTAACAATAATGAAACCAAAATGGGATGCCAGCAACTGCTCTGTCTACAGAGGCACTCTCCACAATCACTGATGTGAGAAAAATCAAATTTTACACAATTTTCTTCACAAGTACTTTTACATAAAAACTGGTGTTATGCTAATAAACGAAGCCTTCCAACTTCATTTCAATTCAACACACAGTGTCATTTGCACTATGAATGTCTTCCTTTCCACATTTACTGTAATAATGAATAACAGCAATTCAAAATTGTGATATGTTAGTGTACAGCTCAAACCGATTTATTAATATTAATATTAACATTAATTCCAGTGTACTCAGACCAGAGTATGCACTACTATGAAACAGTAAAATTTATTGTTATAAAATCTTCTTTAGTGACCAGATGCACCAATTTTGGGCAGATATCTGCTTCAAATTGAAACAACTGCTCACCAAAAAAGATTTTCATCACATTCACTTGCTGTGAGGGCTTCAAATTTCAAGCCAAAACTCTGTCAACACTTACAGGTGGAAAAGTAACAAGAAAAATCATTTTACACACTGTCAAAATCAACCTCACTATTTTCACATAAATTTCCAATCCAAGAATATACAGTAATGCATACATACTGCCAACATACATCTTCTCAGGAAATATCTCATATGAAACTTAGAAATGACAAATTTTATTTCTTGAAATTGTACTGAAGTATGTTACATTACATGAATTTTTACTACATTCATATATAAAAGAAAACTGCCCATGTTACAAAATTAAATAAAACATAAACGTTCAACACCAAGAAGTATGTTAACTGACGAATTAAAAATAGCAGCAACTCTGGCATCCCACAGACAAGCAATAATAATAATAACAATAAATAATAATCAATAATAATAAAAATAATAATAATGTAAATAAGGAGTTCAACAGAAATCATAACTTACCGTAATAGTCGAATGCGTGAGCTGGAGTTGGGGAACATGGGGACAGAGAAAAAAGCAGATCAGCAAATTTGTTCCAGAAAGCGCAATAGACATCTCTGTGACAGACAACACAACAAACCGCAGAACTAATAGGAATAGGAATCCTAAAACACTGAAATATGTGTCCTACAATCAGGATACAGGAATCCAGATACCCTCTACACAAAAAAATAAAAATGAATAATGTAGCACATCCTAATGAATTGTTCATAACCATAATAAATTGTGAATTTATATTTGAAAGTCATAATCTTAAATAAACTTCTGAAAATTGAAATCTATTGAGAGAAAAATTTGGACCTTTAATGAAATAAGATGCAAACGCATGAACACTGAGCAGTATGTCAGTCAAAAGACAGAAAAATCATGAAAATAAGTCACACCAATGCTTTTTTTTTTCAGCCAATATGTACTCGTATACCTGCAAACAAGTGATGTATACTGTCAAACTTGTCAAAAATCAAGTCACACATATCTGCCAGTGTACTGCAGATATGTTTTGTTATGTCAAATGTTTTGAACTGGAGGCTAAAACCAAGGATGTGGGTTAGGGATGAACACGCTTTTAGGATGACACCCAAAGTTAAGCTGTCCACTGGCTCAGCATGATGCATTTAATCAAAATTTTGAGCACGCTTAAAACTGACATTCATCATCGCATCTTACGGAGATTCCGTTAAGTAAATTTGAGTTTCTCGCCTACCCTAACATGGCTTTCTGTCAAACAGCACTGCCATGATTTCTTGAAGCAACTGGAGGCAGGCATCAACTTTATAACAGTTATGCATGAAATGTGACAGCAATGCCCTGATGAATTTTTGTGGTTTGTATAAGATTTTGATACACAAACTCCTCACTCAGTTTGAATATGAAACATTGGCTGTCTACACATCTAAGACAGTTTAATTTTAAACTATGATTTAACAGTATACGTCATTAAGGAGACATGAAATTGTTATATTCCATCACAATTACATGAGCTACTCGCCAGAGCCTGTTATGAATATGCCAATCATTATGGCCCTAAATATTCTTGTCTTGAAAATTACCATATTATGTAAAATGAGTTTAAAATCAGTTGACAATGGTGTGTCACAATGTTTATTTATTTGTACTTTGTCCATCATTCTAGATCCTTATACTCAGACCACACGACATATCAGAAACGGGTTCTATTTGCATCTTCAGATGGAGATGTTAAGAAGATAGTCACGTTCTTCTGGAACCACAGGCAGGGCCATTCTTACATCTGAGTGGCCCACTGGGGTAGCAACTGTCTCATATCCTCTCCAACTGAAGACAGAAATAGAGCCCATTTATGAAACACAGTTTATTAGATAAGGATATAACCAGTCTTTTTAACATCACACAATATTACCTGCTTCTCAAGAAATGGTCCACTATTGAAAGGTAGGAAAAAAATATACATTCTGTTCTGAAAACTAGCTAAGTATTTCCTCCCAAAACTTCACAGAACTGTGCTACTAAAGCAAAACTTAAACTTGTAACAGGTAGGTGCTGGCTGATCAAGCCCTGTATTGCTGACATGTTGCAGATTCAGTAAATCTTCTCCCACCCTCACAATCACACGTGACTCTCATCACATGCGGGAGGTGCATTCATGAAAATCACTGCATATCTCATGAAATGCGTAAAAAGAGAAATGCACTGAATGAACACTGAACAGGCTGGAGAAAGAAACGACATGAGAGATTTAAAAATGGTGGAGCAAGTCAAGGAAACCGTGTGTGCACAACTCACTGGGCATGTGCAGGAGCTTTTACTGTGACCACCGATGCCTGTGACAGTGAAATGTAAGTGCAGGTATGCGAAAGCATGGTAAACAAAAGCGTGTACGAGAGTCACCTGCAAACCTTTGGTGATAGTAACGGCAACCTCAATTTGGGGAGAAAGGAAATGGTATGCATTAAAATCTGTTATCTACAAGCTAGGATGCAGAGGAATACAGTGAAATTGCTGTACATCATCTGTCCCTTTCTCTTTCTAACTCTTTCCTCTTGTTTCAGATCAATATATTGACCTTTCAAGAAATGTGCAACTGAATGAAGTATTATTTAAAAAGGAAACATCTGTACATTCATACACACAGAGAGGCAACATTCCTATGTACAAGCTCCTAAAATACTGGAATGAAAATTTCAACTACTGATGCTTAATCTTCAAAGTTAGTGCAAATTTTCCCTCAAAATAATGAGTACCTCTTTTTGTTTCTTCTGGGTTATGACACTGTGCAGTCTGGTAGGTGGTTATGATGTTTCAGAAGAACATCAGGAGCAGGCTTTCTACCCTGAACATACAGGCAACATATTCCTCTGAAACATTGGCAATCACCTGTCAAATAGCACAGTGACATAACCCTGAAGAATACAATAGGAATTTTCATTGCCATGAAAACTTAAACCTCACAACCAGCATTTGTTCCTTCAATTTTTATTAGTATCACTTGTAACTGAGCAACAGGCATTTCTGTATTTCTTTTTTCAATACATAAAAACTAACAATTATTACAGAAGAACATGTTGTGAACAGAAAATGAAGGTTATGAGAAAGCCAACAAATATTTCCACATTTTACCCTCCCTGAACTGCTAGCCCATGAAGTGTTAATGCTGATACTTCAGTAATGTACTCAACATACTCCTCATGTGAGATTTTCCACCGTCTGTTATTTCCAACACATTCCGCAAGCACCTCTCTGCCTCTCATGTTATTTACAATATATTCTGTAAACAAGCCACTCATTTGTATTATTCGTATTTCAGACTGCATGAATGATGCTATATGGCAGGAGTGGCTCTTTAACTGTACTGGACTGATATTATTCAGAAACAAAATACAACCAAATTTGAAAATCTGGTTGAAATAATCATCACTAATTAGAAATTCTAAGTTAAGAACTAAATCACTGCAGTTCCATTTACAAATATTTATCAACCAGTATGTTAAAAACGGTCTGCAATCAGAATACTTTTAAAGAAACCAAAACATAACACATGACTTTATTTTAATACTAGAAAAATTAAATCATACACACTCTTACTAGAGCACTCTGTATTTCTGGTCCATCTTCCTAGTGCCAGCCACCCAGTGTACCAAATTCAATAGATCAGATCACATGTATGGCTGTACATGTCTGGCCCCTTGGGGCCATCCTCGAAGGCATGAAAACAGAATGAACCACAACACGTATAGTTAATTTCCTTTTACTGCCATGCTTGTGGGGATGTCACCCAGTGGGCCAAAATGTGTAAGGTTACACATCTAATTTGATCTATTAAATTTGTTATGCCGGACCGCTTGTTATTCCAGCAAATACTAGAAGTGTAATGGTGAAGATGTCAGACACTTTAAAAGAAAAATCAAATTTATTCCAACAACCTTGCCAGTCAGAGCTAGCATACTGAACTCGAGAAAGGCAAGGAGAAAAGTCCTGAAATTAAAAACAATACTGGTCTAACATGGTCTCAGGACAGACCAACAGTTCTGAAACAGGGGTACATATATTTTATACACTGTCACACTTAGGTAGGGAGGGTCTTAAGATGAGTCTCAACAAACATCTTGTACTTCTTTTCATGGAATAAATGAAGTTAACTTAAAATGAAAAAAGTTTCCGCATGCTGCAGTGTTACAGAAGGCTCAGGAGCACTGCAACACATGATGTAATAAAAATTCCAAACAGTCTTAGGTGACTACAGTGAAAGTTTCACTCCTTAGATAATATTGTTACAGTTACGATATGAATACAACTACCAGTTTTTCTCTCTAAATAGGTACAACTACTGAAACTACTGACATCTGCAGCTAAACTAAACACTAAGATCGGTGAATATAAAATATACGCCTTTTATATCATGTGAGCTTGTAACAGAATTATATGGTTCTTAGTGCATTATCAATATAATCACATGACTACGAACATGGCATTGAGATAATTTGAATGTCCATATGTCGTGTATATAAACTGCATGTCTGGCACAACATACATCCTTAATCAGTAATATAATACATATAAAACGTAACCTTTCTCTTTTTGGTTTCTCTGTTTCCTGTTTCATTCTGTGAACCTAAAGGAACATGCAAATACGCTACAACATTTATTCTGTACAATACGTAATGTACAGGATGTGATTCAAATCCTTATTCCCAGTATTTTTTATTAGGTATGGTAAGGTAAATGGCAACGTTTCTTAACTAATTAGCACTACATCATGAAGGTGTATAGGGCAGTGGATGTATAGATCCACATTTTCTTGACCTTGGCACTAGCTGGAGGTGAGTGGTCAGCTTCATGACCCTGCCGCTTTACCTCTGGAGCAACAGCCCCCAGTACCGAATGGATAGGAGGCTGGGTGAGCCCCAGGGCCGGTCTAGATGACATGGAGAAAATCCTTGACCCTACTGAGACTTAAACTCTGACACCTCAGTTGTCCAGCGCATAGCCAGTCACTATACCAACTGCACTATCCTGGCTCATCATAAGCTAAGGTAAGGTAAAGTTGTCCTTATGCCATGAAGATGTATGGAGAGTGGAGGTATAGCTCCACCATTCCTAACCTCAACACTAGATGGAGGTGAGTGGTCAGCTTCATGCCCTGCTGCTTTTTACCCCCAAGGAAAGAGACCCCAGTACCCATTGGACTGAAGGCTGGCTGAGCCCCAGAGCAGTGGAGAGGAGTAAAATCTTTACCCCTGCCAGGAATTGAAGCCTGACCACCCAGTCCATAGACTATCACTATACCGAGAGATCCTTGCTACCATTAAATATATAAGGTAACTTTAATACTAGTGTCAGTCCTTTATAGAAAGTTTTAATTTAAATGAAAGCACCATACTCTGGGCGCAGAATGGGTTCTTCTTCTAGTGGCAGTTCAAATGTTATGACCTAATATTGCCAAATTCAAAGTACGATCATTATTCACAGTATGGCAACATGACCATCAGCCGATTTTCCCCGAGCCCACCAGCATCTCTCATTCATCACATAACTTACTTGACGACGATCCACCAAGACAAAAATGCTAATCTATGCAATCCAGGTTATGTAGATGAGATGCATTTTCAACATCAAACAAAACAAAACAAACTCCGTGGTTTTAGTCCGCAAGCGAACTGTTAAAAATATCTGCAATACTAATGATAAAATATAATACCAAATAAAAATTATATGATCATTTTTCATACTATATTACACACTTATAACACAATTTCTTCTAAGTCACAGTTTTCTAAGAAAACATTCATTCTGCAAAAGAAAAAATCAAATACAAAATATAAGGTTAATGACATAAGGGAAGAGCTCTTATGGGATACTAAATTAATTTTTAAACCCATGAAAACAGTTCAAAATTTAGAATCAGTCCAGGGTTCAATCCTGGGTGACTTCATACGGGATTCGTGATACATGAAATGACACTGGAGCACGTTTCTCTCCAAGTTCCCTCAGTCTCCCCGCTAATCATCATTCCACCATTGCTCAATATTCATCTGTCACCACCCCTTCAGATGTGTGACAGCCCTGATCAGGCAGCACATTATCACATCCTCAGTCTTTAAGTTGAAGGCTTCATCTCTGACCCGACACTTGGCTGGTTAGAGTGAGAGAATTAGGTTCACAATCCATAAATAACGATTTTCTTTAAAAAACCGTTCTACAACAAAAATGTCTGATTAACATGTAAGTTATTCTAACATTCCACATACCGTGTGGTGTAACATAAATTTTGTAAGTAAAAATGAAGATATCTAGAGACTTTAATGAAATTCATATAAGATGCAAACATATGTACGTACAAAAAATGATTTAATTAGTTTGATTGATTCGTTATAAATTGATATACCTTTTAACGTTAAAAAATAAGCATTTTTTATAATGTACGGAATCGATGTTGAATAGGACTCCTGCTTTCTTAAATTACAGCTTGAATTTATATTTTCCATTGATTCATGTCTTATCAGATGTTATCCTGTGACATTTGAGAATACACATTTTTAGTTCTTCTTGCAACACCTATAGCACCTGAAAAGATTCTATGGTTCTGTACACTAACTATTAATGTTCATTTCAAATATGGTAAAATAACAGATCTACATCTGGAAAATTTACTGGCCATTCGGTGAATAAAACACATTCAAATGGATCTGACATTTCCAAAAAGAGTGGGTAATATGTGAAACTTCAAATATCCAAATTAAAACATTTTGCATGTAACAAATCAAATGAACTGAATAAATCTTTTGGTACCCATTACTCACGTACATGCTATACACGTGAAGTTTCACTCAAATCTACTAACTGTCCACTTCTAAGGAACTTATGTGACTGTAATATGCACTTAAAAACTATACAAAGAAGTAAACAAGAAAGTGAAAGAGACAGATGAGTGGTTGTTAATGCAACACAAAGACACAAACAATGTTACTTGTTAGATACAGTACAGACCTTTGCGTGGCCTCCACCAGTCTTCGAAGTAGCCTTTGAGGGGGGAAGAAGATGAAGATGATCCTTGTTATAGGGAGAGCAAGCACAGTGACACAAAACCAGGGATATAAAGTGAGTCCTGGCAAATAGCACGAATGGCATGACACTAACAAGAGCACTATATTCTGCGATGTCATGTCACACAGTCTGGTAGAAGGTTACAAAACATTCTGAAGGCATGTTCTGCCCCCTCATTCCTCAGGGTCCAGCAAAGCAAACAAGCTACGCGTAAGAAACTGGTCGCCAGCATCTTTAATTAGTGGTTTTACTCAACCATGAAAATGGAAGAAGAAATGTTCCTGTGAATCATTAGTAAAATTCTACCAGATTACATGGTGTCACATCCCAGAAGTTGGTAATTCTTCTTAGTCACCACTATGAGCACCCCCCAAAAATCTCGTGTTATGCCAACAGCTTCACAGTGCTCTTCAACTCCATCATCAAATCCAGTCACATGTTCCCATTTACATGACTTTATTGAATAAATCTTCATGCTATTAACAATTCAAAAAAACTATAGAACTTAAATAATACACTATTCCAAATGTATATCACGTTCTGCAACACAGAGAAACCCATGTTCTAAGAGATGATTTTAGGTTATATAGTAAACTCAACATTATCCAGTGTTCAAGCATCCAGAATTCTCATGCGACTTTCATAAAGAAATTTAAAGAAGTTGTTATGTGCGTATAATCACCAATCAGGCGATAGTTCTCCTAGCTGCCACTAGCAGCATTGCCCATCCTACTTCCTCAGGCCATTACAGTACAGTCCAGCTGAATTTGTGCTCATGTTACAGTATACCCCAAACATTTCACCCATCAATCCACCTTGCAATTCAATTCTTTAGCTTTTAACGAGTAGCAAAATTTTTTGTATGGCACTGTAAGTATGGTAAGCCAAATTACTTGAATTGTCCAGTAGTAGGTAGTAGCTCATATTTGCGCCTGTCTGCCTTTTAGTCTGCATACTTTTGTTGAGGTCAGGGGAGCAGGATTCGTTCACAGAAGTTTAAAACTTAAAGTAAAATTCATGAGAGATGACAGATGTTAATGTCTCACAGAATGAATACAACATCGGGGTCATAACTGAACATTTCATGCATGGTGTATACACAAAAGAAGTCTATGATGCTATACTGTTTAGCAAAGGCAGTCTGCTAAAACATGTCACACACTGAGGGTCACATTGCAGGGAGCACAAACACGTGGTGAGTTATAACAGAGGATTGATGTAAGTGAAATGAGTGTGGCCGGTCCACAATCAAGTTATGACAACTTCATCACAGTGAACAGGATGGACAGAAGAGCATACAAACCATTTTACGTTCTGAACCGCACCATCCTATGTATGGTCCCAGTCCATTCGCCATTTAGCTAACAGTACTGATGGAGGGAAGTCCTTAAAATCTGACTTTGGAACACATAAAAATGGCTTGGAGTGTGGCAAACCATGAAAACAGCATCAGCTGCTTCACTGCAACTAATATCCACACAGTCTGGTTTAGAAGATGCGGTGACATGAAAACCCTGCTTAAGAAATGAGTGACAGTTCATGCAGCATGCTAGAGTGAGAGAGTATGACTCGGTGACTGAAGGCCTTGAGTTGCACTAAGAAATCCTGTACACAGCAGGAACTGCACTAGCCGTTGTTCATGCAGAGGCTCATGAGCCTCCCACAGAGCACAGAGCTCTGTACTGTATTACACACACAGTTTAAAGGCCTGCCCATTAAGAACAAATGCAGAACCCACCAATCATTCAAGAAGAGAACAGTGTTCTCTGGATAGCGAGAAAGCATAAGGTAAAAAAGGTAAAGTTGTCCTTGTGCTTAATTAATTAAGCACTACACCATGAAGGAATGTGGGGGAGGGGATGTATAGATCCACATTTTCTTGACCTGGGCACTAGCTGGAGGTGAATGGTCAGCTTCACGCCCCGGCCGCCTTACCCCCAGGGAAAGAGCTGCCAGTACCCACTGGATAGGAGGCTGGATGGGTCAAAGAGCTGGACTGGACGATATGGAGAAGAGAAAATTCTGACCCTACCAGGACTTGAACTCCAATCCCATGGCCGTCCAGCCCATAGGCAGTTGCTATACCGACTGTGCTAAGCATATATGGAAAAAGCATGCAAAAGGCATCTGAAGATGTCTGAGAGGTGATTATCAGAGTGTGGTCTAAAATGCACCCCATGGTAGTATGGTGGGAATGATGGGAGCCCTGATAATATGAAGTGCATCCAAAAGCCCCTTGTATTTGATACCTAACAAACACACTGAGCGAGCATGCCAGTCCAATGGAGGGAACGCTTCAAGAGAGCAATTAGATTTGTGCTGTAGCTACATAACAAGCATAAGTTCACTTGACTCCATATACAGACTCTCAACTCTTAGTCATCTGAAAGGCTTCTACTGAGAAACGCATGCCGGAGCGATGGATATAGTAACTCATGGAGAAGACCTTCTTCAATGCAGAGGCAGATAAACAACACATATCAAGACATGAAAGAATGAGGCTTCAGTACAGTCGGATATTACTATTCTGTCTTCCCTCTAGGAGGCTCCGATTAAAACGTGTAAAATATTAAGTGTTCAATGACGTTTTGCCTGGGGTTGATAGATGTACGTGGTGTGTTCAAAAAGTATTGAACCTTTGGTCGGCAGAAATACATTTATTGATTTGGAGGTACAAAACCCTAATCCCCTTCAAAGTAGTCCCCCTGGTAATGCACACTTCTCCCAGCGCTTCTGCCATTGTTGGAAACACTTCTGGAACGCGTCTTTTGGAATGGTGATCAGCCGGGCCGTCGCATTCCCCATGATGTCTTCTCTTGACTCAGATCAGGTTCTTTCAGCAGAATTTTCAGCTTGGGAAATAGCCAAAAGTCACATGGAGCCATGTAGGGGGAGCAGGGAGCCTGACAAACCACAGGGATATTGTGTTTGGGGACGAAAGTCTGAATCAGATGTGCAGAATTGGTGGGTGCGTTATCATGATGGAGCTCCCAAGTTTTTGCTGCCCACAGATCCGGTCGTTTGCGCTGCACAGCATCACGAAGGCGACACGAAGGACCTCCTGGTAGTATTCCTTAGTGATGGTTTGGCCTTGTGGTGCGTACTCATGATGCACAATCCCACGGGAGTTGAAGAAAACGGCCAACATGACCTTGACATTGCTGCGGACCTGCCATGCTTTATTTGGCCTCGGGGATGTCGGATGTTTCCCCTGTGATGACTGCATCTTGGTTTCTGCGACGTACCCATAAACCCATGACTCATCGCCTGTGATCATGGTGTTCAGAAAGTTGGGGTTACTGTTTGCACTGTCCAGCATGTCCTGTGAGATTTCCAGACAGCGTTGCTTCTGCTCCGTTGTTAGCACTTTCGGTACGAATTTCGCAGACACTCTCCTTGTGCCCAAATCCTCGGTCAAAATTGAATGTACCGATCCAATGCTTACCCCTATCACGTTCGCAAGTTCTCGGACTCTGATACGACGGTCCTCCATGACCAAAGTCTGCACTTGCTCAATGACATTCTCATTTCGGCTTGTTGAGGGTCTGCCTGAACGCGGCTCGCTGTCCATTTATCTGCGGCCATCTTTGAAGCGGTTGTACCACTCCTTTATCCGTGAGTTGCTCATGGAATCGTCCCCGAAAGCCTGTTGAATCTTGCGAATGGTTTCCACTTGGGTATCGCAAAGCTTTTGGCAAAATTTTATGCAATATCGCTGCTCATGTTGTTCCGTCATTTTACACCTTACTGGAATCCAACGAGCGCTCACTACACGTCCACACACATAGGCTGACTGCCAGCGACTGACGCTTTCTGCGGGCGGGGAAAAATTCACAACTGCGCATGAGTGTCACCTCCACATCTCCACCGAAGGGAGCCTCCCGCGCTTCATTGGTTTACGCGGGAAAAAGGAAGGTTGAATACTTTTTGAATACACCACATATAGTTACCACGTCAGGCAGCTGTTGGAGTTCTAACTGATTCTGAAAATGGCTGAGGGCTACTATCCATGAATAGACTTATGTGTGGGGAATATACCCATGAGCCTACAAGAACAGGCATTTGCAAATGAAAATTTAAAGCCATTCTCCTGATTCCACAGTGCAAGAAAATGAAAACTGTTGCAGTAAAAACAAAGAGTGACGGCAAAACCTACATCAAGATGAAATGGGGAATATGGGGATAATGTGGCAGGCATTCAACATGCAAAAGGGGCCAGTGAAGAAGAAAAAGAAGAAGAGGAAGAACAAGAACAAGAACAAGAGGAGGAGGAGATTATGGAACAGTGCAGATGAAACAAGGAAAAGGTCAACGCAAAAATGAAGTAAACAATACCACTTCATGTAAAGCTCGACTATATTCTATTAATTTCCAACACAGCAATGACTGACTACTTGAAAACCACTGGGATACAAGTTTTAATACTACCTTTAGCTCAGCTAACCTATAACATATTACATATGAAGTGAGTTTTGTACCAAAATTCTGAACACCGTCATATAACAATTCTAATTTCCTATTACAACTCATTATTTTCAAATATGGATCTGTAATTTTATGTTATAATATATCAGAAGACACAGGCTGAGGAAAATTATATATATATATTCCAGCAAGGCTCAATGGCAATGTTGCAAACATTAACACAACAGTAACAGTAACATTACTTAACTAAACTAAAGACAAAGAACAGGCTTAGAGTCTGAGTCTAACCCAGGGCCATAGTGCGCCTGAAAGGATAAGGTCACTTGAAAACTATGACCTCATTGGGCATCGAACCCATGACCTGAAGGCTTGAGCACAGTGCTTCAACCAACTATACTACCATGTGCCATGATATTATGCATCTATATCAACACTTATTTTCAAATGTACAGGCCATGCCTTTAAATTTGACCCTTGGGTTGCACAAGAAGGCAGTAGTTGCAGCTGGGTAGCACACTGTAACTGAGGCTCCTGAGTAACCCATACACACCCAACAACCCTTACTCAGCCAACAGCTTCAA